GAAAAAAAAAAAAAGAAAAGAAAAGAAAAGAAAAGGAAAAGGAAAAAAAGAAAAGAAAAGAAAACAAAATGAGCCAAAAGCAGTGGGAGAAAGAAATTAGCAGATAGCTAACAGTGATGGCGTAGGGCAGGAGCAAGAAGTGCTGATAAGGTACCTTTTCGAGAAAAACTTATACTTCGCTGAGCATATTCCTCCTCCACCGCGGCTTGATACTCTCGGTACTGCCGAGGATATGATATGAATGTGGGACCTATGCTACCTGGATGTCCATCCCGACATGGTGCTAATAAGCAACTGATATATATTGACTATAGGAATGTATGGATGGACATGATCAATGTAAGCCTCTATAACGGCCAAAGATATGAGCTTTTGGCAAAGACAGTGCTCCCACTGTCCGTAGCAACTCTATTTCTCTTGACTGAAGCTGGCATGGAAGCCTTTTGATGAATCGAGGCTGGCCGACCAAACTACATTGAGTCCCATCCAGTCGACAATTCGTGCATGGAACTCCTAGATTCATAGCGTCACATCGGGGTTTGCGAGTATGACAGTGGATGCATGCTTGTGATGCTCGTTGGCTCGCCTTTTTTGCGCCATTCTGATTGAATGTGTTGTGCTCTAGCTGAGCTTGCATCGGGATTTCAGGTTCCATAGATCAAGAATTTCGTTTAAACAAAAAAATAATAAAATAAAATAAAAATATATCTTTTCCAATATGATGCCCGTACCTTTTAATTTAGAAAAAACATTGCTTCTATAATACAAAGCTTCCAAGCAGAATGTAGGTGGTGTGGGGCTTAATTGTTCGATAACCAACCCCCAGGATAGAATCATGGCTCGTCATGATTCTCTAATTTGACGCTTTGGCAAGATCAAGTCAAGGTTACGGACGAGAAAGTGTAGCAAGTCAAAGATGATAGACATCAACCCATATTCCCATATTCCCATAGTCCCATAGTCCCATAGTCCCCACGTGGGGTCTAAAGCTGGAATTATCGGATTTAGATCACCCGTAACTAGAGGGGATAAATCCGAGCTGGAGCAAGAATCCACACCGTCGATCCTTTTCTGCTGTTCCCAGTCGGTCTGAAAGAAAAAGAACCATCTATCTGGGCTAAGGTTGAGATCTAACACTACCAGCTCGATGGTGTTCTTCCATTCCTTTAAGGGTATGGACGATATTGGGGCGGTACGCCCGAGGGCAACCCCAGGCTAGGTAGTGTAATATATAGCGATCTTTTACGGTAGGGAACTCGGATGTTGGATTGGTCGACACTTAGGGATCGGAAAAGCCGACGGGCAAGGCTTTCCTCGGTAGCGACTCTAGAGGAACGACTGATAGGGTCGTAGGCCAAACAAAGACCTCCGTGAACGACATTGGTATATGGTGGCAGTTCAGTTAGCTTGTGTCTACCATTGAAGACAGGGCAAGGAAGAAAGCGTACCAGGTAATAAAAGTTCTCGAGCTGGGTGAGAGGTACTGACACCGCTCACTAGGGAGAAAGGATTTCCAACTCTTCACACAGTTTCTTCTGGATAGAGAGTTGCACAGGAGGTAGAACGTGGTAACAGCTAGAGTACAAGACATAGCTTCAGTACTAGCTAACATGAATGCGGTACTGTCGTCAAGAAGACGGTCGACGGTCCACTCATGCGTTGGGATGTGAGGGTCCCCCAGTACACCAACAGGTGCAGTGTACTTGGGACCAGGTGTTGGACTCTTGAGGAAATTGCCGACTCCCTTTTTATTTACATCGTAATATATGATGAGAATACAAGCAACAAGAGGCAGAATGGGAACGAATAATCCAGTTAGGCATGTTCATAAGGTAACCACGCTAGACAAATGAGTAAGATGATAGACACGGGACAAGCCCAAGAAACCATCTCTGACGACGATATGGAAGTACAGTATGCAGAGGTGGCTTTGGTTCTGACTGCCGAAACAAGTGATGATACTCACTGTCAAGGCGAAAACTCTATCAAATTCGAGCACCTTTATCGAGCTCATGTGCTCTTCGAACCAGGTAATTATCTCGGTGATAAGTTCGTGAACAGTGGATTCCAAGCCGACAATGGCACGATTTGATAAGTCACGGCGTTGGAAATGAAGGTTATAGTCGAGAGTAGCAGCAATTGCAGACATCGAATGCTCCGACAGTGAGAGAATTCTTGTTGGTCTTGCGAGAACTAGCCTTGGTGTGGTATAGGACGAGTCCTAGGTTTGAACTTCTCTCTCGTTCACGCGAACAATTGATGCCTAGACCATTGTTAGTTACCCCATCGTAAAGTAGTAAAATGCGAGTCACAAACAGTATATTTATTGTGCATTTTCTGCATTCCCGGAGATATTGGTCATCTTTTAGTAACTTCATGGCAAAGCTCGAGGTCGGGACCGATAGTAGCCAATTTAAGAGCTTGGGTGTTGCGCTAGGGGAGGAGAAGATTGCAAAAACATGTTCAAAGAAGGTAGAGAGCATATATTCCCAGCACTGCGCCGACGAGAGCTGTGTGAGAGAATTTGTTGTTTGGGGGTTCTGATGTAGTACATAGTTACCACGCCCGGCAACAGTGGAAGAGAAGGCATCGTGCTCCTGATGAATATAAGAATGTAAAGAAACTGGAAGGCTATCCTCTCAATGCGCAGCTTGGATAGACTTAGAGTGCTCGCAGATTGTCTGCGAGCAATATTAACCGCTTAAGTATTGTAGGATACTAGATCCCTAAGTAGATTGCTTAAAGTGAGGTGCCCAAGCGTGTCTGAAAGCGAGGTTATCTATTTATCCTATCTTCCTGTTTATCTAGCCAGCAATACCGAGTACTCATGCTTGTACTGAGCTTTTATCCACAATTAGGAGCGGCGTGCGACTTTCGTCTCCACATATTCATAATCAGGTCTTTTGAAACTGGACCGGCCCACTTGAACTTTAGCAGGACTTGAACCATGCCAGACCCCAAGTATACTATAGCCCAGTAACTGTTGACAAAAAAGCTCGATAGCCTGCTATGGAGCGCAACGGGTGCCTTAGAACGACCCACCGTGTAGGCCAGCCTAAATTATAGTGGAACCCGAGTACAGTTCAGGGAACTAGGGCCACTGACCTATCCCGATGAGGCGCCATATGTAGTTATGCCTGACAATAAAAAATGATACTGCGAAGTAGTCCAGTAGATGAGAAGCTGTAAAGAGGCTTACGCCGGTCTTTCCAATCCTACATAGGTCAGATCTGCAGCATTATCAGACACCGCGTACATAACCCTTCCTGCAATACAGGAGTAGGGAGAGAATTCATTTTAAGTAAATACATCGGACTTGAACCATATGAACTCCAGAGTAGACGTACCCCAGTTTTGTATCTAAGCACCACAATGTAGTTATATCTACCTTATCGTGTACATATGCGTGATTTCAATACTCCAGTGGCTTGGTCTAATTTTGTATATTTCAGACACTTGCTCTTCTGACGAACGCTCAAGGTATGTACACTAAAAGTCACAGAAGGTGTTTCCTCTAGCACCTCAGTTGCTCTTAAGCCATCTAAAACCTTCGAATCATATACAGTTCAGCCATAAATGTGGGGTTCCTGATAACCGTTGTAAGTGAAATATCAACACGGCGTGAAAGCCAGTTGAAAACCAGCCGTATCTTTAGGCCAATCCGAAGCTAATCTAGTCCACATTCGACAATAACCCTAGACGTGCTGGGCTTGTGGTCCGGATTGCAAACAGCTGGTCTTCTTCGGCTTGAGTTGTATCGAAAGCGTAGACCGCCGTATTGGGAAGAATATCAAAACTACGCGAGTCATGCCCAGGGCGAAAGAAGTTCCGCTAGAATCTTTGTCGATGGATTCGCCGAACATGATCCCTCATGTTATCCATACGGCTAAATAGCCGTGTGCATTGCTCCCCATGTTGATTTCGCCATTGGCACCTAATTTCCGGTTTATGCTTGGCTTCATGTCGGTCTCGATCCTTTCTGGTGGCAAAGCCTCGTTTACTAGACCTCTGTGGATCAGGCGCTGATTGGGGGCAGTTCTCGTAGTGGCAGAAAAATGCTCTAACTTGCTGGCGATAGGGCCGTCGAAGGTCTCGTGGGGTCGCGAAACGCTCGGTCGATTTGTATCCGGGAATTGGACACTTAACATGTGAGAGAGAGATCGAATCAGAAGGCGTGATGTGGCTGAGAAGGGGCTCGGGAGGTGAGTCTCGATAGCGACTGCTGCCTCCAGGGTGAGAAGGTATCTGCTCATCGCGAGAGGGTAGCCCCGTGGGCACATCAAGTATGCGTGAGGATGATAGGGTGAGATGGTCTGAGGGGCTTTGGAGAATTGGAGGCCCGAGAAGACCTTGTATCTGCGGCTCAAGAAAGTCTTTGAGATCTGACGTATCCATAATCCATGGCATTGATGGTTCTGTAGGGTTATCAGGGCCTGAAGAATGCATTATCCATGGTGTTGACGGGTTTAAAGTGTGCCCGAGCGCAGAAGCGTCCATAGGCCACTGAACGGGCGTCTCTAGCAGTTCACCGTGACTCGAGGGGTCCATGAACCATTGTAGCGGCGGCTCTGGTAGTGACTCAGGATGGGACCATGTAGAAACATTCCGTGAGATGTCGGAGGAGGGGGCTCGATTTATTAGCGGCAATGTCACCCACTGCTCTTCTTGCACGTTGTGGTTATAGTTCATTGTAACTCCTTGATCTAATCGGCACGACACTAGGGTCTCATTCTTAGGGCCTTTAGGAACGGCACAAACAGGGATATGCCGGTATATCTATCATAAAGCTCGTAGCAGATTACAGAAGCAACCCTCCTGCACCAGGCTGACTTTGCATCTGCGGGAATAGGGTCCTCTTTTGGCTTAAACTTCATGCAGTAGGCGAATCGCTGAATAAAAGTCTCAGGGGACCGCGTATGACGAACCCCGCGTACATCGTGATCATCAAGGGAGGCGACATTAGTAAAATGATTCTAGATGCTTACGTGGGAAGCTAGCGGCCATCTTAGAATATTGCATTAATGCAAGGTTAAAATGTGAGATTCTCTCGGAAGTCAAATGGAGTTCTTTTGATACGGGATGTCGTGCCTGATTTCTAGTAGTCCATCATAGGGCTTCTCGGCTTCCGTATCTGAATCAAGAAGTTCTCGCTTACTTACGGTAGCATTGCATAAGACACATTGGCGAATACGAAGTGGATACAGGAGTCAATCCTCTGCTTTGAAACAGTTCATGTTATGCCAAGCGGGAGTAGTGGTTGGCCTTGTTTCGGCTCCGCCCTAATATAGCCTCTTTGATCTTTTATCGTTCATCCAACATGTAGTTCTCTACTCAATACATCTTATAGTATAACCCTCTCTTATTCACAAGTCAGGTTTGCAATCTAAGACAATGTCCTTTGTGGCATCTCAACCATTCTGATTAAGGCCTCGAGGAAATGCATACCATGGTTAGATTAACACGAGAACACGACGCCAATCAGCGCCACTGCTCACAACTGCACCTGAAGGTGCCAATCACGAGTTGGGAGTCAATTGCAACTTTCGACTCAAATGCTACATCGGATCACCTCTGATTCGTGACCAGGCTACCTCAACCATATTGTAGAAATGGAGGTCAGCAAAAGAAATATAGGATGCTGCGTCTGACCCACCTGATTGTATTATTCACACTATTGGCCAATACGACCTATCTCGCGCTCTTGGACACACTGCCTGTTCGATGCTGTTCGAGACCAACATGGCGCTTCAAGCCCGGTGGATACAACTGCCCCAAGAAGCCAGGTGAATCGACGAGGTGAATCGACCGTGTGGAAGTGGCAAGCCGACGATGCCTGCATATATGGCTGCTCGGTTGAGCATCTCGTTCTGACGACTTTTATCTTTCTCGATTCAGCTGCACTACAGTTGCTGTTTCTTTTCTATACAGATTTGACGTCTACTTAATGACCAGTATCTGTGCCCTTTACTATTGTCAAAACACAAGTCTTGTCATACATGCTGGTATGGAAGACCTCTCTCTACCCACATTACTGCCTATGGTCCCTAATCAAAAGTCTAGTTCATAAAGATCAGCCAGATATGCTTAACGTAGCCATGGCAAGATCTTGAATCGACTATCATTATTCTCATCGTGACTTCATTAAGATAAAAGCACAATACACCGAATCCCAACAACAGATCTCACATGTATAACAGACCTATCCCCCGGGCTTCCTGCCATAGACAAAATACAATTTCCCATACTGATGCACTGTGGTATCGAACAACTCCTTCCTTGCCCCCGCCATCAAAACCTCAACCTCGTCCGGGCCCCACTTCAGAATATTCTGCAATAACTCCGGAACATAAGACTGAATGCCCTGCATCTGCTGCGCCTGAAAGTATTTCCCAATCTCCTTCTGTTTCTTATCCAATGGCCATGGACTAATGGGCACTTTGATAATCTTGCATGTCACATCCTCGAATCCCTCCTTGATCATTCTATCCGCCCACTCGTCCATATTCGCCATTGGCTTTCCAAATTTGACACTGGCTTCCTGGATTAACGAGCACATTCTCGTGGTATATGGTGCTCGGTCGAGTGAGTCGTCGTCGGCGTATACTTCGATGCGGAAGCTCTGCATCTCCAGGTACCCACCTGGCTTTAGGTGTTTGAATGCTTGTCGGAAGAGTCTGTCAAAGTTGCTGACTGCGCCTGCTAGCTCGCGACCGTGGATGTAGTCGAAGGGCCGTGAATAGACCCAGTCTGCTTCGTAGTCGTCGATTTCGAATTGGAGGTTTGGGGGTATCCTTCAAGCTCATTACGGGGTTAAAGGTCGGCACCTTATCTGACTAACATGGGAGGAGGTAATCCTTACCAGCTAGGTTGAATGGGACTGAGGTCGTTTCCTGTGGTGGTCAATCACTGATCTTTAACATGCAGACAGCAGCATACCTAATACTTCCGCAGACTTATACTGACTATAATCCGAACATCTATGAGCGAAATCCCACCCAAGAAAGGTCCCATAAGTCTGAATACGCACTCAGCAAAATCAATCGCCCAAATCCCGGTACCTGTTCCCAAATCGAGGACTCGCTCCGGATGAGACTTGATCGGCGCCATGTGCAGTCCGCCATCGAGAATCAGGGCATATATGTGATGGAGGAGGTCCATGCGGTCCTGCTCCTCCTCGTCGTTTGGCTGAACCTTTCTAAGCCATCTTGCCTGGTTCGGGAATGCGGATGCGATTCATAATACCATTAAATATGCGCCTGAGCGGTAGGCGTGATATCTTCGGCCATTCTGCGCTCATTTATCTTTCGTATCGGAGATCATTGTTGTCTTCGCTTGCGCGGGGCTTACCTTGTACCTGCGTATGCTGTTGTTAGCATGTATCTGGGGATATACCGGTGATGGAGGTTGAAATAGAGATATACCTACTCATAATTCAGAACACTCGACGCCAACGTAGTTACATCTAGCGATGCCCCGTCCGCCGAGGCCCAGTCGCTATCCGAAGCTGGGGATAGATCCTGCGAAGCAACAACTTAGGGTTAACATGGACACAAGTTCAAGGGAAGCCACAGCTAATCAAGCACCTCTATATCGTCAACCATGAGAGGCTTAAATCACGATACCACAAAACCGTAGTGTTGCCCACCATACAAAGACAAATGAGCGTAGGTGGCGGGGGAGATGAGCACGTTCATTCACGGGGACCCTGGACTGACCATACGATCGCGAACAAAAGTACGGCATTCGAATCCCGAGGCAAGACAAGGAACCTAGCGGGATCTGCTCTCCATTTACGAAGTACAAACAAAGAGATCCAGCAAACTTTATTCGCTGATGTCGCTTCCGCAAACCAGCGTTCGTGGAGCCCTGCAAGCTGCCAACCCTAACCTTGTCATGACAACTGCATGAAGGGTGAATTACCCAATCAGCCCTCCCCCTTGCTTGGGTGACATGAGTAATTAGTTCCTTTTTTTACCCCTTTGGCCGGTACTGCTAATCGGTTTGGTTTACTAATGGCTATTCGTGTTCAACTATAAACGGCTGCTCTGTTTAGGGTTGGTCTTGTTGGATTTGGTGGGGTTGTGGTCATGGTTTGGGGTCTTTTTGGTTGTTATAGGGCATTCTTTGGTGTCGTGCTTCTGTCGGCTGTCGCTACATTGGTTATTTGGGGTATGAATGTGGCAGTTCAAATATGACTCTTGGTATCTAAATCCTTTGCTATATAACATAACTCTATGTAAGATACATATCTATACATATCTCGTCGTCCAGTATTGATATCGGTGGGGTCTGAATGCGAGCCTTGGTTCTCAGACATAACTCCTGTCTCCCAATATGGTGTGCTGGACACCAACAAAATTTATGATAAAACTCCATGAAAACAAAACATATAAGACTACTTGTCCATACAGAAAACAAGTATGTCAATAGCAAAGGTTTCATATCGTCCGAGGAGAAAGCGTCGATAGACGCCAGGTGGATCTGCATAAATCGACAACCTATGCATGCACAACACATCATGACTAATCTACATAACACCGCCTTCCATCCATCCCGATAAGCATACAATCAATCAATCATCACCAATCTTCAACTTCCTCCTCAGCCACCACTGGCTCACACATTGGTCTCCAACCGGAGCGCCAGCGAGCAGCTCCAAACGAACCCAGACAAACGACCACTTGCAATTTCCAAAACACAGATACCATAAACAACCACCCAAAATGCAGGGCTTCAGTACGGCATACCCCCTCCGCAAACCCCCTCCTAGCAAACAAAAAACTAACCCAACAATCTAGACATGGGACGCTATGTCCCCCCAGACCAAGAAGGTATAATGAGCGGCAACCAACTCGCCAAAAAACATCCCCTCGGTTCTCGCGCCCGTCACCTCCACACGACTGGCGCCCTGACCGTGCGTTTCGAAATGCCCTTCGCCGTCTGGTGCACGACATGTAAACCCCACGAGACGATCATCGGCCAAGGCGTGCGCTTCAATGCCGAGAAAAAGAAGATTGGGAACTACCACTCGACGCCGATTTACAGTTTCCGGATGAGGCATCCCGCGTGCGGCGGATGGATTGAGATTCGGACGGATCCGAAGAATACGGCGTATGTGGTTGCGGAGGGGGGCAGGAAGAGGGATACTGGGGAAGACAAGAGGGAGGGTGGGGTTGGGGAGATTGTGGTGAAGTTGCCTGGGGAGAAGGAGGAGGTTGTTGATCCGTTTGCGCGGTTGGAGGGGAAGGTCGAGAATAAGAAGGTGGTGGATGAAGGGCGGACGAGGATTTTGGAGTTGCAGGAGCGTCAGGCAAGGGATTGGGTTGATCCATATGAGATGTCGAGGCGGTTGAGGAAGACGTTTCGGACGGAGAGGAAGGTCTTGGAAAAGGCCGAGGCGAAAAGGGAGGCGTTGAAAGACAAGATGAGCTTGGGGATTGATATTGTTGATGAGGCGGAGGAGGATCGGTTGCGGGCTGGTTTGGTCGATTTTGCTACTGGGAGTGATACTACTGCTGCGCGCACCCGGCCGATGTTTGAGTCTAGGGGTGTGCCAACGGAGAAAAAGCTTCCTGACGCATCAACTGGGAAGACCAAGGACAGGAAACGGAAGAAGGTGGCGGACGTCGTCGCAGAACGCAAAGCAATATTTCGCAGCGAGTTAACTGGGAATACCCGCGCTGTCGTTGATCCTTTCCTAAGCCATGAGGGAAGCCTGTGGCAGCCAGAGGTTAAACGGCGCAAAGCTGCACCGAACAAGGCGGGCACGAATAAGACAGACAACCACAATATAAGCAGTACGGCAAGTGAAGATCAAGCATCCTCTGTATCGAAAGAGCATTCAACCGAGGTGACTGAGACCGACGGTAAGACACCAGAACCGCCGGCTGCTTTGGTGGCTTATGCTTCGGATTCAGAGTAGTTGTGTCATTCCTGGGTTTTTTCATACTTGGCGTTCAGTGATAAAAATGATACCCCATCGCATTACAGTTCTTTTATTTACATTGTCATGGAGGCAAAATGCTATGCATCATGTACACTATCTCAGATATGATTGGACTATGTATACCTAAAGAATAAGGGTATGTATGTTATATCATATAGACACGAAGTAGCAGCAACCTTTTGTCACATCACTATATTTCTTCATATTATTTTGCCCAGGGAGCTTTTGTAGTGATGTCATTGGCATCACCAGTAGGGGCCGGCCCAGCTGGTTGCGAACTCGCCCAGGGAGCTCTGGTAGGAGCCATTGGACCTGGGGGTAGCCTGGAAGTATCGGGAAGCGCCGATGGGATTCTAGACGTAGTAGATGGCCCACCAGCTCTTGCAGTCGCCCATGGCGCTGCAGTTCCGGTTGATGGCGGTGGAACAATCTGAGATGCGGTAGCCCAAGGAGCTTTCGTTCCCAGGCCCGGGTCTTGTCGTGCAGTTGGAGGTACCTGTCGTGGCCGAGTTTCTGGTCCGGATGAGGTATGAATTCTAGACGGCGGAGGAATGGCGCTGGGGTCGCGGTCCCAGCTGAACAGCGAACCAAAGCGAAAGTGTTGGACAACCGGGAACTTGGAGAGCACTTCGGCGTTGTACATTTTGATCATACCCTGCAATCATCATCAGTCGACAAATTCAAACGGTAGCGAGATGTGTTGACCTTGTTGATCTTGGCCCAGCCAGCCCGGATTCCGGATATGTCATATAGCATTTGGCTATGCTCCCAAAATGGACCTTGTTTAACATCGTATATGAAGCCAACGGCGGAAAAATACATATTCACTCTTCGCTCTTTGTTTACAATGTTCGCTTTCGCGACTCCTTCAGGGTCCGGCGCATCGGGTAGTGAGCCCACCTCCGGTACTAGGTCCGAGTCTGATATAGCTGGACTGAATTGTGCGGAGCCAAATATGTAAGGAAGAAAAGAATGGTCATCCAAGCCCCAGACACCATGAGAGCCAGCAGGCTCCAGTTTGTACTTTTTGATAACAGCTCGCACCAGTTCCAGATACCTAGACCAGTCATAAATCAGTCTGGATTAGCATGCGAAGATTATTCAATATACGCACGGTTCTATCACACCGATGACAATCGCTCTTTCCTCTACGCCGGGACTATTTTTAGGAAACCCGTTCAGCTTCCAGATCGCCGCCAGGAACGCCAAAAAGCTCAGTTCATGCCCGGTGCCATAATCCATTCGCTCCCGGCTACCCCAACTTCCTAAGAAGTACTCCATTAGCTCTACCTCTGCTGTTGGGCCCTCCGGGTCCGATGACGGGGCGTGTAGGATTTCCGAAGACAAACACTCTTCTAAGAAGGAAGATGCATTCTCCTTCACTTTGTCCTGCCAGTTGCGGTAGCCTTTATCAGCAAACCTCCGTTCACCACCCGCCACCGGTGTGGCATGAAGTAATCCTTCGAGCTTCAGCAGTAACTGCTGTAGCCGCCGGACGGGGGCAGAGAACTCGACTACTTCGGACTTTAGAGGCCACGGCTGTACACGTTCATCTGGTAATCTAGATGGAAACATTGATCGGTTTAGCTGCAGAAGAAACGTCATAATGTCAACATAAGCTCTGGAGCATAGAAACTCCGAGACATCATCGGTTTCGTGGATTCTCTTGCTGGGCTGGAGGAAAGAGTGCCCCACCGAGGGGTCGATGGTGGGCAACACACGGACTGAAAATCCATCTGCAGCCATTGTAGTTAATTACTAATAGTCTGATCTTAAATGTGATATCTTTCCAGGGCTTCCAATAGTTGTAAGGGTGTAAGTTGCGTATGAGTGGGGGTGACACCACTAAGTAACAAAACGTAGAGTCGGGGATGTATGTTGTTTTTGGATCGGCCATGACGAAATTTGTCCGCGGAGGCCGTCGAGTTTAATTTGTTAGAGTTGGTGGTCCAGCACCTGATCCACTCCCTTTCCTCTTCAGGCAAGGATCATTCATTAGGTTAGTAACTTCATGTCCTTAGTTATTCAATGGTCCAGCATCCATTCTCTCCCTTCCACAAATCTTTGATTAGTGACTAACCAGTTTCTAATCAAAGTATAGATGGATGGGATCATTGGCATTTGGCTTTCGTTTCGACCGATGGCCGTGGTAGTCAGTCGTGAACTCTAAAAAATCGATCAAGGCATCGAGTCCCTTCTCTTCAACACAAGACACCAACTCAGTGCGCCGTAGAGCATTGGACTCTGCCTCAGCAAGCTTTCCAATCAAAAGCTTGACTATCGGCTCGTTTCTGGCTTCTAACGCCAACAATAGCGGCGTCCGGCCATAACCATTCACCTCCACGGACTCCATCTCAGCGCCGTTCTCAAGGAGTAGCCTTGATACTCCTTCAAACCTGTTGACTGCCGCCCATGCAAACGGTGTCCAACTAAAGCCAGCATCTATTGAATCTACTTCGGCGCCTTTCTCAATCAGTAGTCTCGCTATGATCTCATATCCTTCCGCTGCAGCCCATATCAGTGGCGTCCGGCCATACTTATAGTCAAATGCCTCCACATTAGCATCCTTGTCTAAAAGTAGCTTGACAATCTCCTCAAGCCCACTCGACACGGCGGACAAAAGTGGTGTCCGGCCATATCGATCCGTTGCCTCCACCGCCGCGCCATTGTCAAGAAGTAGCCTAACGATATTCTTGAACCCACCTAGTACGGCGAGCGAGAGAGGCGTTAGCCCAGACTGATTCTTGGTGTTAAGAGGAGCACCCTTTCCAATTAGTAACTCTGCTACTGCTTCACACCTGCTTTGGGCAGCCATTGATAAGGCTACATTGTTGAATCAGTCCGCCGCATCAACTGCTGCACCACTTTCGATGAGTAGCAGAGCTACTGCTTCGTGCCTAGACTCTAATGCCAGCAACAATGGTGTCCTACCCGCATGATCTCGAGAGTCTAATGCAACACCATTTTCAATCAACGGCTTGGTCACAACTTTGTGACCCCGCCTCGCAGCCCATGATAATGGTGTTTGGCCTTCAATATCCCTCAGATCTAAGTCACGTTCTGCCAGGCATAGATGAAGTACAAGGGCTTGGACACCAAAGAAAGCTGCTATATGAACATAGGAGGCCACAAGGCGTAGCTCATTGTCGTTGTATTGAGCTCTGTACATTTCTCAGTATATTAAATGCAAGCTTGCCCTATTATGAGTCGATACGGTACGGAGGTATTCTCGAGCGAGTTCTAATGGTACGTCTTGTAGGTGTTCACTCTTCTGAAGGTGGTGGCCCCATTTGGCAGCAGCGTAGGACATAATAGTGGTTTCCATGCAATTATCCTCTGAAGGCGGGGAAGGGAAGTTTAGAAATGTAAGGCATGTCCATGCAATTCGATTATGCCACTGTACTTTGCTGACTCCAAATAATTGGTTTTGCCGACAGAGATATTCTTGAAAAGAATAGTGAACCAATCGTATAGTGGACGTTTCCTGATCAATCACAGCTAAACCATGACAACAGTTGATCAAGGTACTTCTAATAGGCATGCCTCTCGGGTTGAAAGCTTTATCGTCGTCTTCGATCGCAAGTGAACACAGAAGCTCATCAACGGAAACCGGTCGTTCTGCTAGATAAACCCAAGCAAGAATCTTCTTTGCCTGCTCAGATTGCGCGTGAGGCTGTTGTTCTATTCGTGCCATTGTACCAGCGAAGGCATCACCGAGATCAGACGGTAATGTTCTCAAGGCCTCCTCACGACGTCGGATCGTAGTAGCTTGCAAAATAGCATGAACTTGTAATACAGGTAGAAGAAACCTAAGTCATGGAATTAGCACTATGAAGAACAATAAACTTGGCACACTAACACGCCCTTAGCTGACTCTATAGCTTTGTTTTGAATATCCACTCTCAGCTTTTCGTCCATGGCGTCCGGTTCAATATCGTTCGGTCCACCAATCTCAAGGTCGATGAATCGTCGAATATCATGATCATGTGCTACAATTGGAATCTCATGCTTCTCCTTAATATGTCTCGCAACTGTTACTTGGACGTGGGGCCGGCCAGTGATATATAGCTGTATCGAGGATGATCTGGCCTGTAAAGACATTTAGAGGCTTCTTTGATCCCGCAGTTCATCCAGTGCATCCAGGCAGATGTAGACTCTGCTGAATTGCTCGCAGGCAATATCCAGAAACTTTTCTGCATCAGGTAAACTCAAAGCATTCTCCTACTTGACCGGGCAAGGCCCTTGATCATCGTTTTGATCTCCGAAACTGCATATATGAATTAGCAAGACCTGCTTGACAACAATATAGAATTAACACGCTTAATAAAGCATGATCATAAGTATGATACTATTGAAGATAAATTGTTATGTCTTCAGTGTCTACCGTCGTCGCGAATTAACAGTCTACAGAAGAAGAAGAAGAGGAAAGACGTCCAACTTACGGTTATCCATAACAATACTGCGAGCTTCTGGTGTGTTTTGGATATCCGAAGCGTCGGTAACCTGAAGAAGCTCTTTTGCATACGCAGCAGCAGTAGCCGCAGCATACTTCTGCCATCGATCATTTTTATGGGTATCGCAATAGTCACAGATTCCACGAATGACGAGACAAGGAAATTGGTTCATCAATCCTGCAGCTTCCATTTCAAAACAAAGACACTTCTTTGCTAACAAATCACGCACCTTCGCATCTTTGATGACCTTATTACCTGAAGCGATAGTGCCATAGTGGATGTAAGGATCTTGGTCCAGTCGTTCAGGTCGTTTGATTTCCTTCTCAGGATCGCACCCACCACAATCTTTTGTGCCGTTCTCATGTATACAATCAGGGCAGAACAACCGATCATGATCTGCACCTTGGTATATATATGCTGGTCCTCTGCGTGAATCCGCCATTGCCGGATAAGCCGTATACATGGACTCCAATATACCGGATATCGATGTGCCTCCCATCATTTCATAGTTGCTTTGAAGCTCACCCATCGCATTGAGAAGTGCCCCAGGAGGGCAATTCAATGCACCACATTCTTCGAAACCGTGTGCAGTGACCTTGCCGCAATCATATTGCCTTACGCCCCCAAAGGCGCCTGTAGGTTGACTGACCACAACATCACCCAAACGGATATCGTGCTCATCGCTCGGTATACCACCGCCAATGCCAACCATTAGCCCGAACTTGATACTGAGGAAACTAGCAAGCATCTGCTTAGCAGCCGTAGCCGCAGTTACAGTTCCATATCGACCGGATGGAAGGCTGGCAATAACCACGTTATGTTCCCCATTTGGCCCATTTATGGAGCCTAACCTATAGCTATTATGATCTTTGGTGTGTTTTTGCCGCGGCGGTGCATGCACTGTGTCAAGCATTGCCTTGGCAGCTGCTCTTTCATGAGGCAAGGCAGCGATCCAGCCGACGGCATACTCGGAATTGTCCAGTTGCGGTAATGGGTGGCCCATCACTATTCTTGTATATCATAGAAAGCCGCCAGGAGGCAGTAGTTCAGCCTAGTTGGCGTTTGGATGTTTTGTTGGCCTATTTAACAATGATTTAATGCTTTGGCTACAGACAGGGTCATTAATTGGCTCGGTACCCCTAGCCGCGAGAAATGCTTGACCCTGATTCTATTCAGAAATCATATAACGAGTCGTGACTTGTGCCCAATTCCTCGCATGTTTTGTCTTCGCCCTATCAGGCCGTTCAAATAGCCGCCGAGCTCACAGGAAACCCCGCCGAATTCCTCAGCCCCGCCAGACTCATGGCGCGGAGTACTGTTTACAATCCCTGACCATTCTAATAAATCTCAATAGTCATAAGAGAACAGCTTTATGGTTTGCTTTAGAATAGCAGAAGCCCAGTACACAGCCACAATCGGGCTGTATGTAAGAAGACAAGAAGCAACATCGAACTACTCACGGTCAATCAATATAGACACTCAATAAAGATACCTACTAGTATGTGACAGTTCAGAAAAAAGCAGTCTATTCGTGAAACGAGCTATTCCAGGGACTAGGTATAGGCTTAACTATCAGAGAAGCCTTTGGTTGAGGAATTTTAGGACCTGTTAGATCTAGCCCTAAAGGCTCGTTTCACCCGGCAGTGTCACTCTTGGCTGTTTGATGGACGCCTATAGTTTAGTTCTCTATATTGGAAATTGTGATAGTAGTTAGCTCAATCAAAGATTTACTTTGGCTTTATAATTTACAAGGAAAGAATAATCTTTCTCAATGAAGTACTGTTGTTATTTTCGCCTTTTTTCTCTTTGAGCTAAGCTTTCTTTCACTACCTTTTTTATGATGGATGTACTGTAATATATGTATAAACTGGCAGCGGGTAGATAAAAAATCTCCGGATCTTGATAGATGTTCCTTTATTCTTAGTATTACTTTCTTTAATTCAAGAGATAACCAGTCTCTAATGAATCTTGAGGACATTAAATTATAATCTAGAGGATAAGTAAGACAATAAATTGATATTCCTGACTCTAAGATTATGGAAGGTGCAAGTAGTTCTCTTCCAAGGGTCTAGACCTCTCAATTCCGCAGCGTTTGTTTTTCCGCTCACCATTAATTGTTTGTTTTATGACACAGGTCGATTCACCCAACGACCTTAGGTCGTCGTCGCTCCCCTTCTCCTCCAAATAATCACGAATGTGCTCACTGGCCAAAGACCAATCCAAATGAGCTCACGATCAACTCCACGACGAAGAAAAGTCGTCTCGACGTCCCACGCGCTGGACCTTTTAAACAACTTGAGCGCCAAAAACGTCACCCACGAGCCGAAGTCCAGCACTCCTTCTCCATACCGCCCCCGCTCGTCGCGTCGGCCCAAGATCGATGATGTCCAGGCCCCCCAAAGTGATGATATCTGGGACGTCCCCGATGAGCCAGATCATGACCGATCCGTCCCGTCCAGACGCGTCCCATTGTCGGAGCCCTTAACCCCCCGCAGATCGTCTCGGTTGCAGGAGAAATATGGTAGTAAGACCACACCCTCTCGGAAGGCAAAACGTCGCGCGAATTTGAAGCTTAGTGGAAAAGATGACCGGGAGGTGGAATCGGACCGCGAGCCTGAGCGCGAGTCTGGAGGGGGCTCGGATGATCGTCCTGACGAAGCGGCGGCGGCGGAGGAATACACCGGTCCGGTTGACGAAGATCAAGAGAATGGTGAAAGTGACGCGAGTTATGTGGATGTTGTAGAGGATCACGGAGACAATGAGTTTCCCCAACCTGTGCTCGATTCGCCTCATAACGTCCCTCAGTCAAACCGACTGAGTCCATTTGATATTCAGAAACGGGTGTCAGTTCTAAGCGCGGATCTACACAGGGACACATATGAGAGTGGTGATAGATCGAGAGATCAATCGCATAATGGGCCTGAAAGTGAATATGGAACACCGCACGATCAGCAACCAGAGCAAGCAGATGAGCCACACCCTGGTTCTGATAATGTTTCCAGTGCACACGAACAACACAGAAGCTCTCCCGCCGTCGTGATCGTAAATCCTGCTGTGGGTGTCAGGAGCTCTGTGGACAGGGCAGGATTGCCAGTCCGTTCGCCAGAGTCTCCTAGGAGGAATACCCCATTGGAGGACATCTCGCAACCTTCGCGTGTGCAAGCAGAATCAGCGGACTTGGCCGATGAAGTGGAGCTTTATGAGGCAGAAGATGAGAGCGTCGGGGTAGACCACACCAACATCGCCGTTGAGGACAAGTCTTCCGTTTATATTCCAACGGATGATGAGGCGGAGGATGAGAGCGTCGAAGCAGACCACACAAACATCACCGTCGAGGGCGAATCTTCTGTTCGTATTCCAGCAGATGATGAGGGCAGCGTGAGAGATCGCCCCGCACGACCCGAATTGTTTAGGTACGAAAGCGACCCAGAGGACCTGTCTACGCCGCCAAGCAAGAGACGTCAAACCTCGAATCAACAGCCAGTCTCAGAACATCAAAGACGGAATCGTGAAAGAAGCCTTGCGACGTCTCGAGCTGTCAACTCCTTGAACTCTCACGAAGACCAAACCGAGTCTCTACAACCCCGTCACAGCCCAAACGACATCGAGCAACATGTTGAGGATATTTCCGAGGATGATGCTGGGGATGAATCCGACGAGGAGGAGGCATGGTTGCACCAGGCCCTTAAAATGGCTGGCCAGAAGAACAACTGGGACACCCTGGTGGTTCAAGCTCACCGCGTCAAAAAGACTGCTAACCCTTCTATGGCCGAATACTTTGATGATTTCGTGGATCTAACTTCTACGTTGCGAGCGAAATATGTGAAGATTGTAGGTAACCTAGACGCCCGACGTGAGCCTCGCGGCGCGATAGTGCGCGAATGCGATGAGCTCCTTAGCGCAATTTACAGTGATGGGACCTCCTCGGTGGACTATATCGTCGAACATAAAAACGACAAACCAGAACGAGGCCGACCGAGCAGTGAAGAGACGCTGGACGAATTTGAAGCGTGTCTCGTATCGGGAATGATGGGTGTGTTGCTCGCCTGTTTCGAAGCCTACTGCAAGGAAGACGGGCTCTTCCCCAAAGCCTCCGAACACCTGCACCGGGTGCTGGAAGTGTTTCTACAACTATGCTACAAGATATATTGTGTAGTAGATACGGGTTACATAGACTCCGAAAACCAGAGCCGTAGCCTTCAGCTCCCGCTCAAAAAACTCATCACCGCGTTAAAGAAGGACTTATTTAAGGGCAGTGCACCACAACCGGAACCTGTGCCAACCATGTCCATCAAGCATGGCAGACCATGGACCGATGACGAGGGGTATGCCCTTATAGATGGATTGCAGCGTTACCAGGGTAAGTCTATCTGCATCCACATGGGCACGAATACTCACTACTTTTCAGGTCAGGATCGCTATGCTCGAATTTTGAAACATTTCGGGGAACGGCTCCGCGGGCGGACGATCCGGGGTACGCGCGAAAAAGCGAGGCAGTTGCATGATAAGCTTCTCTCAACCGTAGTCGATCCGGACGTACTCCAGACGGAAGAAGGACGGCAGCAGTGGTACTGGCTTTTGAGTGTGCGGAAGGAGTGATGACACTTTATTTTCCTTTCCTTTTCTTTTTCTTTTTCTTTTTCTTT